GTAAAACTAGCAATGAGACACAGCCTTGGTCTGACGCAAGAAGCAAGTCATTTGTAATTTTAACAAGTGCAGTTTCTGTGCTATGGTGGGGCCTGAAACCTGACTGAAATTCTTCATAGAGAATTTTTTTGCAGAAAGGAGCACAGTTGAGCAGACACAACTTTTTCTAACATTTTAGACATAAAAGGACCGTAGCGTCCTGGAGATGTTGTCCGAAAGGAGTTCCGCTCCGACTCTGCTGGGGTGCAGGCCATCAGCGTAACAATAAATGTTTTGTTTTTTTGAGCAGCAAACCAGTTTATTAGAATGACTTCTGAAGGATCATGTGACCCTGAAGACTGGAGTAATGATGCTGAAAATTCAGCTTTGCATCACAGGAATAAATTACATTTTAAAATACTGTATATTCAAATAGAAAACAGCTATTTTAAACTATAATAATATTTCACAATTTTAAATTTTTTTCTATATTTTTGGTGAAATCAATTTAGCCTTGGTGAGCATAGAGATCTTTAAAAAAAAAAAAAGTCTTACTGACCTCAAACTTATTATTATTTTTATTTTTTTTCAATTAACATGAAATCTTTTTGGGACTTTTACCATAGTACCATGGAGTACTTAAAGTACCATGTAAATACTATGGTACTGTACATGGTAGTCATTCCTTTCTATAGTATATATCAAAGTACTACTTTTTCTTGCTGTACCATGATACCACTACATTACTTATTTCTTCATGTACAGTGTTAATGAGGTGTGTTTTACCCCGCAGGTCATATTCCAGCACCTCCATAGATGATGCCATGAAGAAGGTGGAGGAGCCTCCCACTCCTCCTCCTCGACCCCAGAAGACTCACTCCCGCGCCTCCTCTCTCGATCTCAACAAGCTCTTCCAACAGAGCGGTCAAGGTTCACGCCCATCCCAGCATTCTTTAAGTATTTAACCATTTACATGCACATACTTTCATATACTGAGAATACAAAGCACAGACATTTATATATATATATATATATATATATATATATATATTACATTTATTGCATTCATGTTAATTTAAGTAAATATTTGACGTGTGTGTCGATGCGGTCTTGCCGTGTGTTGGAGCATTTGACATTGAAGCTCCATTAACTGTGTGGCTACTTTCAGTGCTGCTTTTGCAAATGCAGTAACAGGATTCCCTTAGAAAATATTGAACGTTTATTCTTAAAATGTATGAAGCCACAGGATCACACAATGGGAATACTACACTACCATACCAATTTTTGAAAATAGCTTTGACAAGAAGACTGTTTGATTGGAAATCATGTTGCCTTTGTTGTGGTAGTTGTGTCTTGTCTGGTTTTGAACGGTATAGTATATACAGTATATATTCTCAAATTATTGTTATTATTATTATTTTACTACAGCGGTGTGTGTGATTACTTCTCAATTGTCTGTAAATTGTCTTGAAATATTTTAGTAGATAAGCTGTGCAAAAAAATTATGATTATTGTAGTACATGGTGGATGAGAATTGTTTTATTTACATCTTGTTGTGCTGAATATGCTTTAGTAGTGGTAGCAGTTTTAGAGTGACGAGGAAGTTTTTCTGAATAGCTTTTCCTCTGTCAGGTGCTAAAAGTGGCTGGTTGCCTCCTCCTCCAGCTCTCCCTCCACGACCACCAGCTACACAGGTGAACTGCTCAGGATCTCCTCATTTCAAGTATTTCCTGATGGCCAGTCCAGTTTAAGCTGCCATGTGTGCTTTAAAACATGGTAGCTGGTTTCTAGCTTGCCATTAGCTGTTTGCCCAGCTTCCATGCTCCAAAACCCAACTTGACCTTATGCTGGTCTGTTACTGGTCAAAGATGATCTTTTTTTTTTTTGGTGCATTAATATGGAATTTACGTAATTGATATGCAGTTTTTGTCAGCTGTTTTACAATGGTTTCAAACATGGCTCATCCAATTAGATTATAGGTCTGTTTCATGCAGTGGTTCATTTTTTCTTTGGTACTTTACCATTCTGTTACTGTGTTGTATTATAACTTGTGTTATAATTCAATGTCTCAGATCTTCAGCTTCCTCCCTGGCTCAGAGAAGAGTTCCCAGAAGGCCGTTCAGCAGCCAAACTTTGCAGATTTCAGCAAGTTTAGGGAGGAGGTGAGTAGATGTTCACATTGATCCTACTGACAAGTAAGGCATTACTAACACTACTAAAACACACACAATTTAATAACCTCAGATGTGGGATCACTAAACTGGCATGTGATCAACATGAACCGAATTGAACTTCTGATGTGTAATTTCCAACTGAAACAGAATATCCATCTGGGATATTGTAGGGTGGGGCTTGATTTAAATTTATTTTGAATTATTGTTATTATTTTTTTAAACAGTAAATTTAATTTTATAATAAATAGATTGTATATAGTAAGAATGAGGGCATTTTAATTAATTGTATTTTTAACAGTTCATATAACTTATTATTAGTTTCGTACTTATTGAAGTATTTAGTACTTATTAAGATTTTTGTATTTTGTATTTATTAAAATAAATCCAATACTGTGAGAGAATTGTGATTGTTTTGAATGAATTTTGCGTTAGTTTGATTTTTTTACACTAAATCTAGTTTTTAAAATAAGAAGTTTAAGAATAAGTAAGAATGAGGACATTTTAATTGATTTTACTTTATAATATTTAATTTAAATTATTATTAATTTTGTACTTAAATATTTTGTACTTATTAAAATAAATCAAAGGATGTGTGAGAATTTTTATTGATTGGAATTAATTTTAAATTACTTGTATTTTTTTAAAATAGTGTACTGTGAGGATGAGGGCATTTGAATTAATTTTAATTTTAATTAATACAAGTATTTATTCCATTTATAAAAAAAAAAATGCATGGTCTCAGCCATGATTGTGCAGTTATTAATGTCCAAAAAAATTTTGCTAGACAAATATATGTAACACAATTTTTACAATATTACAATATTTCTTCGATCTATGAACTCAAATCTGCCTGTTTAATAAAGTTAGGGTCATTGAAATTCTGCACACACACTCTTCCTGCTGTCTGTCATCGCTCCTTTCTCAGTTATTAATTATGTATCCTCTTTGAAGAGTCTGAACTTCCTCTTTTTGGCATGTGTGAACACGTCTTACTGTCCATGATGTGTGTGTTCTCTTGTTTCTGGGGCTGCAGGCTGGGAAGAGACGGCAGTTTCCCACAGTTTAATAAGAGTAGTACCCAATGAAAACACACACACACACACATCAGCGTTACACAAGCTCATACGCTCACCGATGCGGGCCGTTCTTACCTCAGCTTACGTTGCACACACACTGTTTTGACAGCACAGGCACCTGCAAATATCTGACTATGAAAGCTAAGACTTACAGAAGATATGAAGATATGACCGTAGCCTCTATTTGAAGGGATTCTGGTCTGATCAAATACTCATAACTCAGTTGAAGTCCTCAAAAGCCTTAAACTGTCTCGTACTACAAGCCTTCTTTCATCTTTATGGCCTTTTTACCCCTTCATGCTTTTCATTTTTGGCTACTGTAAAGATATGATAGGGAATGTGATCGCTGTGTGAAATTCATTTTTCATAGATGTGTGAGTTATGGGTTTCATGAGGTTATTGTTGGACAGAGAAACACAGTGTCTTAATCGGGCACGATCTGACAAGTTGCCTTTCTAGACTGCATTTAGAAGGCACATACCTTCCACTAATCTCTAATAAATCTCTAATATTGGCCAGTAATTGATTTGGCACTGATTTTTCATGCATCCCTAAAGTAAGTCCAAGATATAAGAGAATAATAGTAATAAATGGTGAATATGTTTTATTTTATAATAATGATAATAATATATATATATATATATATATATATATATATATATATATATATATATATATAT